TGGAGCTGGAATTGTGGAGTGTCAGGATCTCCAAGACAATGAAAGGTTTAATTAAATTGATAATAGAAAATATGGGTTAATAGCTTAATATGGACACAAAGGCAAGTTCGAGGGTTTAAATTAACATGAAAAAACATGAAGGCATATATTGAACTGTGATGACAAATAATAGGGCCAATGTGAGTATTTGACATTCTCCTAGTCACATATTTATATTCACCTCCCCACGACCTCGAGTTACTTATCCTAGTCGAGCCTCTTCTAAATCCATCGGCCCATGCTTGGTTCCAGTCCAATCCTGTCCCGAATAAGGATCGCGTCACCCTGCAAACAAACGCAAACTAGGGTTCTCCTGAAAAATTTATCAGTCTCGCTTTGCTCTCTGTACTTCAGTCGCCGCTCGATTCTTGGAAATCAGCAGAGAGAAAGAGATCCAGAAGGAAGCGCAGGGATGCTGGACATCAATCTCTTCCGAGAAGAGAAGGGCAACAACCCGGAGATCATTCGGGAGTCGCAGCGCCGGCGTTTCGCCAACGTCGATGACGTCGACGAGGTCATCAAGCGGGACAAAGAATGGCGAGAACGTAACCATCCTTCATTTCTAGATACACCCATCAACGTTTTTTTTCATTACCAATATGCTCCTTCAAAAAGGAATTAACTTTTTCGTGGTTCATGTTGCAGGCCAATTCGAAGTCGAGAGCTTGCGCAAGGAGTTCAACAAGATTAACAAGCAAGTTGCTCAACTTAAAATTGTGAGTTTCGTTTAATATTATTATTGAATCTTAGATCTTGGCATGCGTGGAAATGTAATTTTGAAGGCAAATGAAAGTTGATTTAGTTAGGAACTAGCTTACAATATAACATTTTGGAATATATATGTCTGATATCCTTTTTTATTTAACTTAATTATGGCATTGATTTGAAGGCCAAGCAAGATGCATCCGAGATGATTGCTAAGACGGACCAGATCAAACAAAGCATAGCAGAGAAAGAGGCTGAGGTTAAGGAGTCTTGGGAGGCATTGAAAGCTAAATTGGACACCATTGGAAACCTTGTTCACGATTCAGTTCCAGTCAGCAATGATGAGGTATGCGATGTGACACTTAGCCTGTTCATCGTTGTGCTTACCCTTCTTGATTGGGTGATACTTAATCAGTAGTGTTTTGACCAAAATAATGCAGGCAAACAATGCTGTGATTAGAACCTGGGGTGAGAAGCGCATGGAGCCGAAGCTAAAGAATCATGTTGAGCTGGTTGAGCTTCTTGGGATTGCTGATACAAAGAAAGGTATTAGATGTTAAAGGATCCTGTGGTTCACAATATTGTTGCCGGTTTATAAATCTTTTGATGTTTTTAGAACTGTATTCTTTGGTTTTTGGTTTGTCATGCATGATTGTTATCTGCTCTCAATAATTAGCTGATATGCATCTATTGGTGAGATTGTTGGGTTTATATGGATTGGACTAGTAATACAGTGTTTTATGCTTTGATATTTGTCAGAAATTTGTAATTTAATACTAGTTTTGGGAAAATAAAAAACCCTAAGATACACATAAATTTGGTGAAATATTCTCTATTTTTACAATAGCATGTTAGATGCATGAAATCTTCCATTTCATTTGCGTTCTCTATTGTTTTTTTCACTCTATGGTCATTTATGCTAACTTCCCTTGTTGTATAGGTTCTGACGTAGCAGGAGGCAGAGGTTTCTACCTGAAAGGAGATGGGGTTCGACTAAATCAAGCTCTGATAAATTTAGGTTTTGATTTCTTGGAAGCAAGGGGATATACGTTATTGCAAACTCCATTCTTCATGAGAAAAGATGTCATGGCCAAGTGTGCTCAATTAGCACAATTTGATGAAGAGTTATACAAGGTAATACTGAAAGTCATGTGGTCTTTCTTGCATTCCTTAACATCTTTTCCATTGAGGAGATTATTTTCTCTCCAATAATTCTTTTCAGCCAAGTATAGTTTCTGACCAATTTAGCTATTACTGTAGGTGACGGGTGAGGGAGATGATAAATATCTTATTGCCACAGCTGAGCAGCCACTTTGTGCTTACCATTTGGATGATTGGATCCATCCCTCAGAGCTCCCCATAAGGTTGCAATAATTTTGTTAAATAATTGTGTTTTATGTCTAGATAAAACCTCCTTTTTCTTTTGTTTATGAAGATCACTCTTTTCCCCAGATATGCTGGGTACTCATCTTGCTTCCGCAAAGAAGCTGGTTCACATGGTCGAGATACTCTTGGAATTTTCCGGGTTCATCAGTTTGAGAAAGTGGAGCAGTTTTGCATTACCAGCCCAAATGCCAATGATTCTTGGGAGATGCATGAAGAAATGATAAAAAATTCGGAGGACTTTTACAAGGCGGTATAATTCTCTCTTCTGAATTTATTAGAAACTTGTATGATTTTCACTTCAGTTCACTACATTTTTATTTCTCAGTTTTTGGGTTAGGGCCCTTCTTCAATTTATTTGGAATGTGGTGTTGCAGCTGAACATCCCCTACCAAGTTGTGGCTATCGTGTCTGGTGCCCTGAACGATGCTGCAGCAAAGAAGTATGATTTGGAAGCATGGTTCCCTGCATCACAGACTTACAGGGAGCTAGTTTCCTGCTCAAATTGCACAGACTATCAATCAAGAAAATTAGAAACCCGATATGGGCAGAAAAAGGTGGGTCTGGGGTTGACTTCTGTTTGTTACATACGCACCAAGCTTATGCCACGCAACATCAATTTGTTTTTGTTAGTGATTTAGTGATTTTTAATCTGTTTTTTTTTTTCCCTGTTGCAGAACAATGAGCAGACAAAGCAATATGTTCACTTGCTGAACTCAACCCTCACAGCAACGGAAAGGACAATGTGCTGCATTCTCGAGAATTATCAAAAAGAAGATGGTGTTGAAATTCCAGAAGCTTTACGTCCATTCATGGGTGGGAAAACCTTTCTGCCTTTCAAGACCAAACCAGCTGCTGAGGCCAAAGGGAAGAAATCCAAGGCCTAAATTTGTATCTTTTAGAAATCTTTGACAACACTCGGAAGAAGTGAAGGTCTAGTTTATATTCAAACTAATTTTACCCAACATACGGTTATGTTTGCTTTTGAACGAATTGCCACAGAGATTGGGAAACTTTAATATTCCTGTTGTCATGAATTTTTGCATAATTTTGATACTTCACTGTTCGCCTAGATTCTTTGATGTTATGAGATTTGATATTTTTCTCTTCTATCAGTTAAATATACATGTTTGCTTATATTTTTGAACATTTTGTCATGGGGTCGGCTTGAACCGTTACTCTGGGAAGGGGATAAGAACCTTACAAGCGTGGTTAGAGTCACTTGGCCCGAATGGACAGGTTCATACATGTTTGCTTACATGGAAAACAAGAAATATGAAATTGAATGAAATGTTGACTGAATTATAAATAATGAGTTCTTTTTCCCATTTCAAGATCTTTTATAGCTCAAAATCTTCCACAAATTGTGAAAGAAAAGGAAAAAGAAAAAAAGATGGGGGGAAGGAAACAAGTAGAAGTTTTTGCATTTTACAGTAATTTAACTACTTACATATAATATTAATACAAATTTTATTGATAAGAAACCATATTGTAGAAAATATTTTTCAAATAATAGTTTTTTTGCTGAAGAGTTGTTTCTTTCACAAATGACAAACAATTTCTGAAAAAGATTTGAGGGCCAAATTTCATCTGAGAATTGAGATAGGATAAAGGTTCCAAAAGCTTGTTTCCACAAAAATTTTCGAAGAAAATACATACAAATTTATGTCAACTTCACTCTTATCCCCTTCCTTTTCTTTTCTGTTTAAATCCACCCATTTTCCCATTGTAGCATGTAAATTGCAATACAGCAGTCCTTCAGCCCATTCACACTCCCACGGAAAACCCAAAAATGGAATTCAGTGCAGGAGCTAACCAGCGGATTGCAAGAATCTCAGCTCACCTCCACCCTTCAAATTCTCAGGTTTTCTTCTTGGTTGTCTCATTGTTACAACGTTGATCGTGTGGGAACTCTTTAATTTTACCTAACTTGAAACTTTTGGGTGGTTTCCATTTTTTGGTTCTATCTAATAGATGGGGGAAAGCTCCATGCTGAAGAGATCTGAATGCCGAGCAAAAGGAGGTGCACCTGGATTCAAAGTTGCCATCTTGGGTGCTGCGGGTGGAATTGGGCAACCTCTGGCAATGTTGATGAAAATAAACCCACTTGTCTCAGTTCTCCATCTGTATGATGTTGTTAACGCACACGGTGTCACAGCTGACATTAGTCACATGGATACTGGTGCTGTGGTAATACTTCTTATCCATGTTTTTGTCATACTATGTTGCATTCAACTGTTAAATCTCAGGATATGATGCCCCATGTATGTTTCTTTTGCATTGGTAGCCAGTTCATAACTGCTAGTAATATGGGTTTTGAGTTTTTCTGTTATTCAGAAACGTGAAATTCATGCTAATGATTCAGAACTAAATTGAGTCACGCTTTTGGGGTTGCCACTGAAACCATATCCTATGTTCTGGGTGCTAGGTCCGGGGATTCCTGGGACAGCCACAGCTTGAGAGTGCTCTTACTGGCATGGACCTTGTGATCATACCTGCTGGGGTGCCAAGAAAGCCCGGAATGACAAGGGATGACCTGTTCAACATCAACGCTGGAATTGTCAGGACACTCTGCCAAGGAATTGCAAAGTGCTGTCCAAATGCAATTGTCAACTTGATCAGTAATCCTGTGAATTCTACTGTGCCAATTGCAGCTGAGGTTTTCAAGAAAGCTGGTACTTATGATCCAAAGCGACTTTTGGGAGTTACAACTCTTGATGTTGTCAGAGCAAATACTTTTGTGGTATGTTTAATGTAAAAACAAAATGAAATTTCTTGTTTCCATGTAAATAGTTTTCTTTTCTTTTTCCTTTTTTCATTTGACTTTATTCTAGATTGGGTTTAGTTTTCAGCTTTTTCTGTAATTATCTCTTTATAAATTATTTGAAGTTCTCTTGTTTCAACATAGGCAGAAGTTCTGGGACTTGATCCAAGGGAAGTTAATGTTCCAGTTGTTGGAGGTCATTCAGGGGTGACAATTTTGCCTCTTTTGTCGCAGGTCCTCAAGATTATGCTCTAAAAACTTTTCATTTTCAATGTTCATAATCAGTCAACTTAAACTTGCCTGTGATAATATGTTGCATAAATTAATTTCCATCTCACAGCTAACTTAAGTTTGTCAATGCAGGTTAAACCTCCATGCACCTTCACCCCAGAAGAAACTGAATACCTGACAAATCGAATTCAAAATGGTGGAACAGAAGTTGTTGAGGTATTATATACATTCCCTTTTACTTTGTGATCATGTGGAGTTGGTCAACTGGATAAATATTGGAATGCTCTGAATCAGACATTTGCTTTCTTATTATCATGTGGAGTTGGTCAATTGGATCGAATTAGAATGCTCTGAATCAGATATTTGCTTTCGTGTGTTTTTGTAGATGAAATATGAGAAGATACCTTTTTCACAGCTTCTGCTTCTGCTAAATTCCATAGCTTGAATTGTAATGCTTCACCTTTCTATGCAGGCAAAAGCTGGAACTGGTTCAGCAACTCTGTCAATGGTTAGCCATTTCTTCTGCCCGTTTTCACTACAATTTTCATCTAAACTCTTGTAGTTAAAATGGATTCAAACAAATAAACAAATTACCGTGACAAATGTATAGGCATACGCAGCAGTCAAATTTGCAGATGCATGCCTCCGTGGCTTAAGAGGAGATGCTGGTGTTGTGGAATGTTCCTTTGTAGAATCACAGGTACTGTCTGCAATCCCTCATTTCATATTCATCCCAATGTCCTCTTATTTCTATTCTCTTTTTACAATCAATTCTCTTTGCTATAGGTGACAGACCTTCCTTTCTTTGCAACCAAGGTACGCCTTGGTCGTAAGGGAGCTGAAGAAGTCTACCAGCTTGGACCCCTCAACGAGTATGAAAGGTATAGAAGATACATATTTAGTAGCACTATATAATCAGTTTCGTTATTGAGAATATGATGAATGGTAGATTACATTGTTAATTGCCTGTATGATTCACAACAGGGTTGGGCTAGAGAAAGCAAAGAAAGAGTTGGCTGGAAGCATTCAGAAGGGAATTAACTTCATCAAGAAATGAAATAGTGACCAAAATATCTTGTATACTTAGCCTCTTTTGTTACCTATTTAGGGCTCAGTATACGTTACATTGCTTCCCCAAATCTCCTCATGTACTAGTCTCATACACTGGAGCCTTGACTTAATATATTCTACATTCTACCTTCTCTCATCTGAATTAATGTATGTCAAGTATTATCTTGACGCTGCACACTGAAACAAACTGACCTCTACACCATTCAAATGGAAGAAGATAGAAGTTATAGATAACTTGGGATTCTGTTATTTGTAGTATCATCATAAAACTTTGTACAGCTTTAATAGCTTTTCTAACTTATTTCACTGAAAGAAGTGAAAATAGTTTGATGTCTTTACACTTGCTCCTGGTATTATCCTGACAAAACTTTAAACGCTCACCATCCAACAATTTACAAGGTTAAGGGGTTGGGAGGAGGGTGGATGATAGGGGTTGTTGACATGGTCACATTCCTCGAGATCACATTTGGTGCCAAAGTATCTTCTATAACAGGTGGTTCAACCTGCATCACTCTCTCAGGTATAACTTTCTCACCATCAACCTTAGCCAGTACCTCAAAGTGCATCCTCATTGACTCGGGCTTTGTTCTCCACTCAGGAAAACCCTGCCAATCGATGTCTCCTTCTTTCAACTTCTTCTCAACACCAAAGCCAATCTTGACAAATGTCTGAGCAGACACATCAGCCTTTAGTAACTTGAAGGATCCCTTCTTCTTGGCCTTAGGACCCAGCACAGATGAGAGCAGGGTCTCAAAACCAACCAGGTTCGGGTGTGAACCATTGACTGAAGCAAGAGGCCACATTGTGGTGAAATGTTTTGGAGTTAGAACAGTAGGGGCTTCTTCCTCAGGACCAACGTTGGTGAGGTCATCTGTAGCTTTGGTCTTCGACATTGAGGATAGTTCCACAAGGCCAGGTGCAAGACGTTTAAGCTTCAACTTGCTCTCAGAAGATGGTGAAGCTGATGATGGGGATGTAAGGGAAGTAGGGCCGACAATGCGGAGGGAAAGCATTGGAGCACCTTTGGTGCGGGAAGCATGGCGAAGATGTTCAGCCAGGGCTAGAAGTCCAGACGCAAATCCACCCTGAGTTCGGTTGAGGGGCAGTGGAAGATCAATTGGGTTGCGCAGGCTAACTGATCTTGCCCCTTTGACAGTCACCACAGCACCATCCGCCAGAATTACCTTTTTCAAGATGCCAGCATCCACATCATGCTGCACAGTTAAAGCAACACCAAGATTAATGATCAATTTCAAAAGACAGACTCATGAAATTTCCAATCAATTGGAAGCACAGAATTCAACTGGAAAAATATAATTCTACTGCATCAACAGGTTGACGAGTTTTAAGATTTCAAGAATTACCGGTAGGGAGACGCGCATATCCTTGGCATCCTGAATCCAGAGCTCCATGGGACCGGCCAGCTGAAACTGCGCCAAAACCGGCAACCCCTTGTCCGACTTTTTCGGCTCCACCAACCCATTCTCATCTCCAGGTCTAATGGGCTGTTCGACTCTGAAGATCGGCAAATCTACGTAATCCCACCGATTTACATCCTCCAAAAGCTTAAAAGGAAGAACCTTGTTATCGATCTCTACGTCAAATTCATAGGCGACGGAATGCCCAACAAGCGCATCCCTCAGATCGAACCCAGAGACCTTAAAATCATCAGCCTGAAACCCCAATCCCTTCACAATTGCTTCCTTCAAATCCTACAAATAATCCCCAAACACAATAAAAAAAAAAAATTCAAAATTTGAGCATGAAAAGAAAAACACATGAAAAAAAAGAAGGAGAGGAATTACTTACGGAAATTGCTTTGGGATAAGGAGGATTGAGCTCGGGAGTGGAAACGAAGGCCTTGGACGAGGGTAGAAGCGTGGATACAACGAAAAACAACGTCAGGGAACGAATAGAAACTCCGACAGTCTTCATCATCGGCGACGAGAATGAAGTTACCGTCGATAAGAGAGAAAAACCGGAGCTCGGAATCGGAGATTTTGTTAGATTTCCGGGGTAAAATCCCTGAAGCAAATCAAAATCCGAAACTGGTTTTTGAAGAAAAGGGTTGTGGGTTAAAAATAGAGGGAGCGGTTCCACTCTTCTTCTTCCAGATGAACGGTGGAGGATCGAGGAGAGTCTGACGTGGCAGGGTTGGACCAATCAGAAGAGAGAAAGTGATGCGAAGAAGAAAGATGATTGGTTGGACAACATATCCGTGTGGGTCCTACCGTTACCGTGATAATCGCTTCGAATTAAATTGGGAAAGACTGAAGGTTTTTTTTTTCTTTTTCCCCAAGCGACGTCGTTTAAAAGAGCGAAGTGGAGAGAAAATAAATAGTGGCGTCGCCCGGACTCGAACCGGAGACCTTCAGTGTGTTAGACTGACGTGATAACCAACTACACCACGACACCTTGGTGCTGCTCTCTCAATATCAAAATCCATTATTACCTTAAGAAGTAATTGGGCTAGAAAAAACTTGGGCCTAAGCCTAGCTCTTTCGAGATCCAAAACGTTTTTCCTGGATTGGATCATGTTAGCTTTTCATTTCTCAGGCTAAGCACTCTTTCTTTCTTTTTGGAACTTATTAGTACAATCAAGCCCAATCCATGGAGCTAGGGTGCTGTTTTTTTGTCACACTAGATATATTTTCTTTGACTTGCATTTTTTTTTTTTGATATGATTTTCTTTGAGTTACTTATGAGTTATGACTATGAATAAATAGATTATTTCTATCAATAAAAATTTGGTGGAATTGTTATTTACTAATTTAAAAATATTAATTTGGAGTCAACTGAAAAGTTTAAATTGATAAATCTTTAATTTATCATAAAATAATAGACGATTTGTTTTTTAGTAAGTTGATATATGAAAATTTGTCTAAACTTTACCCCCCCCCTGCCTCCAAAAAAAAGTCTAAGGAGCCTGGCTAAAGTCTAGACAAACCAAAACCAAAACAAAAGAATCTCTTTGGTAGGAATTTGTTGCTCTCAACCAAAGACCATCGACCTATATTTTTGTAAATGGTCTCTCCTTTTTTTTGTTGGATTTTGCTATGCTGTCCATTCCTAAATTTTCTAGGGAGAAAAGTAGACATTTTCAACAGTAATGGGGCAAAAAATGCCAAATTCCTTAACAAGTCCCATGTGATCTTTTAGCATTCACTCCATTCTCTTATTTCATTGTTTCTACTTTCTTCTAATGTATTCTTTTAAATAGTATGACCCCAAAAATCCTGTTTTATGTCAAGCTCGAATCCTCTAATTATTCAATATCGTATTGAGCAATGATATATCAATCTTATATATATATAATTAGAGTGTTCTTAAATTAGTTTTTGTTAAATTAATTTCCTTAAATATTGGTGTTGATTCTAAAATTTGAATTTTAAATTTGATTTATAAGACAATATTTATTTATCATTGAATCCAACTCTTCAAATTATCATAATGTACCAACTTACAAAAATATATTATTCAATTGCGTAATTGAACAAATTAGTCTTTCATATACCAAATCAAATCTAAATTTCTTTGTATGCTTCTTCAAACTATCAAACTTTACTGAATAGGGTGGGTGCAAATTACTGTCTTCCTAATTAGCCTATTGCTATAAAAAAAAATATTATCTAGTTGGTTTTTGCACGGGGTGTTCAATTTTTATGGATATGGTAGACAAATTATTAGTTTATAAGTTCAGTAAGATTCCCAATACCAAACATATCCTAAATTTTCAAAATATTTATTTTTTCTATGAAAAACAAGACACTAGTATTTTTTCTAAACTTATATAGAATCTTGTTTAATTTATATTTTCTTGATTATAAAAAAAATGCCTAGTAGCCATGTTCTACCCAACTTAATCATGATTCTCAATTATAATGGATAAAAAAAACAAATGACGTTCCCTCTATAAGAGGGATAAAGATAGTTATGATCTTCTTGATTAAGATAGATTATATAAATCTCTCTTTAAATTTTAAAATTTTTAGATAAAAAGGTTATTGAGAGAATTCTTTTACATATTGAAATTATTTATATATATTAATTGAGGGAAAAGGAAAATGATATTCATGGGACTCAAATACGTCACCTAAAAGAAATGAATAGTTCTAACTCAAGGTTTATGTCATTGGATTGGGGCAGGCCGTTTGTTTATTAAGAGAAGTTTTAATGATTTAAAATTTAAAATTTATTATAAAAAGGGTGTTAATATAAAGATAATTTTTTTGTATCAATTTTTTTTTATATAACTTTCACATATTATTAAATGAGTAAATATATTAAATATTACAAATTTTAAAATGAATGAAAAGAATCATAAAATTATAAAAGAAAATACTAATATAAAAATATTATCCTGAAATCATTAACCTTATAAAAAATATATCAAATTAGAGTGTTAATACTTGATACAAATAGAGAGCAATATATATATAAAAAAAAAAAGACTATCTCTTACAAATAATCCATCATCGAACGCAATTAAAATAAAATTTCTAAATTAAAACAAACCAACGATGAACAGGACAATTATTTCAACATCAGTATATAAGATAAGAAAAGTAAATTGTATATTCTTTAGGTCATATTATTATTAAACAACTTAGCTGTATCCTCTTGTTTCCCAACTAATTGGAAATTAATAATAATACCAATACTGTTTTGTCTGGATTCCCATTGCATTGTTGACCATTTCGTAATTACAACAACACATACATTAGTTCACATTTTTTTTTTTTTTTGAAGAACTTCACATTATATCATACATTAGATTATACTTTTGATAACTGCGGCAACAAATTCTTTTGTTTACACTTGGTTTTGTTGATCAAAGAAATGAGTTCCCTTTACTTTCTTCTGTGTCCAAATATTATTAAAATTAAAATTAATAAAAGTATATAAAAATTAATTAAAAATTAAAAATTTAAATTTCTAATAAGGTGTTGTGAAAAAAATATTTGTACTTTAATTTCATATTCCTCGAAAAGGCACATCTAAAAGATTAAAAAATATTGTTAACTTCCCTTAAAGATGAAATCAAAATGGTTTAGGGCGAAATTCAACACAAATTGAAGTTAGTTTATTACCTTTGGTGGTTCCTAACCTTAATTTTTTAATTCAATGGATTGCAATCCAAACAATGCCATGAGGGATGGAAGAATGAGAAATAGAATCCAAAGACAATTTGCAGTCGGTCAAGAGAAGGTAAGAAGTTATTTATTATTAATTTTTTCTTCCAATTTACGAGGAAGAAAATATTACAGAACAATGGAGATTACAGGAGAAAAAGAGGCTGAGGTGTTGATTCACCTCTAAAACACTGACTAATTCAAACAAAACACAGAAACAAGGTCCTGTTTGTTTACACACCTAAAAAACCATTTGCCCTTTCAAACCATGGGAAGGTTAGAACAGGGAGAAACTGGTTCAGTTGAACTTTCAACCTCCCACAGGAAGAAAAAAAAAAAAAACCAAATAAGCTGTGAGATTACTTTACAAACAGGTGGGGACTGAACATGATCAACAAGTTAACCATGCAAAAATGGAAAAAACCCTTCCTGCAAAATGAACCTCACAGCAAACAAGCTTGATGATATGGTCTTAAGTGGTTGAGCAAAATGGGCCTTGTTCCTGTACTGCCTGGGTGTATATGTTGAGGATTATTATTCCTTAAAAAGCTTAAACTGCAGCAGATGCAAAAAAACACTTGGGACAAAAAAGGAGGATATTCTTCTATCTGTGAACTGAATCAAGCTTCCTTTCACATGAACAATTCGAAAGCGACACGTAGATTCTTCACCAGATCCTTCACTGCCATGCAGAATTCAACATCCATCTGCACAAAGTGCTGACATGTCAATGTTGTGTTGAGAGAAAATGCATGAAACATAAACTTCTAAATGACTGTTAAACATGTAGAAAGTACCTGAGCAATGATAGTTATATCAAGAGCACAACTCCCAAAGGTCATGACACTGCTATTCATGATTGTTAGGTGAAATTTCTCAATTTGAGCCAGGATCTTCTCCAAAACTCCATTTCTTTTCTCGCAGTGGAATTTTATGAGAACACTTTTCTCACAGAATCTTGCTTCAATTTCTGGTAGTTGCTCCTTAAATTGCTCACTGCAATTTTCATTTGAGGAGCAGTTGTCACCCTCAGCGAAGAGTTGAGATTTCTTCACAAGGACAACTGATTCCATTGTCTTCTTCCTGGTCTGCTCCTCAAGGATCTTAACCTTTTCTTGAAGTTGTTTCACATACTTGATGGTATCTCCAAGAACAGAAGCCTTGTCCGTCTATTACAGTATCATTTAGTACAATGAAAAACAGAAACTAGATAAGAATTATTTAGCAGAGAGGATCTGAAAGACCAGATATAGAAACAAGAATCAAACTTTCAGAAAAGCAGTATATACAATTGAATACCTTCTTAAGGCCAGGAACTATAGCAGACAAAGCTATAAACCTTTGGCTAAGCTTTTCTCGCCGTTTCCTTTCTGCTATAATGTGATCATGTGTATGAGAAAGTCTAGTTGCTGTGTCCGTCCTCGTAGCTTTCTCGCAGGCCTTAAACACATAATTTTGGTCTCTGAAGGAATTTTGATAAATCAAAACATCAGAAGGGAAGGTATCATGTCTTTTAGAATACACCACCTCCTCTTTTGGCTTCACAATGCTCATTGGATTTGTGTGGTTGGAATTGACAAAAGAGAGAGTGGTGTTTGGAGAAAATGCAGCTTGGGGATTTAGTATATTGTCAGTTCTAATGGAATTCCAGTTGCTGGTTTTAAGCTGTTTAGCAGGTCTATCATTGCCAATATGATATGTTTCTAAAGTTGTTCTTTTGTTGCATGAAGGGTGAATGAAAGTGTTCTGCAAGTTCTCTCCAAATGCAGCTGCTAACGGCAGGATGCTGAGCTCGTCAGTAGTATCCATATGCCATTGACCAAAAGGGGTAGGATCCTCCATTCCCTTGACATTTGAGATTTAGTAATCATATAAGTAAACTCTTTGATTTCTCTTGATGATATTCGAAAATATTCAACTGGAAAAACTAGCTACCGAAATATGAATGGTCATGAATGTCCCTAAAACTGTAATACTGCACAATACATGAGTATATGGTTTTCCCTGAAAGTTCCTAGCTGATGTTATTACACACACACTACACGATAGCAAGTTAATTCCTAGATTGAGATTAGAGATCTAAGCTGTAACCATGATAATCCGAAGATTCAGAGAAAGAGTCTTACTAGTTCAGATAACCCTCTGATGGACGAAATCTCCATTGAAGAAGCCACTTTCTGAATGAAAGAGCACACAGGGTTGTCCTGGAAGGAAGTCAACAAAACATATGAACAAATTTAGCCTTCAGAATCGTATGCCGACCCAACGGAAGGACCAAATTTCAGCTTAAAATGTTCAAGATAGAAACTTCTCTAAATTCAAGTGGAGAAGAAGCAGAAGCTACAAGGCAAGAACAATGTAAAGAAGCATACTAGAATATGGTATGATGTTCTCACCTTTCAATGATAGCCAAAGTCCCTCTTTTACAACCTCAAGATATGACCTCCCCAACACCAACCTTTTATAGCTCTTCCATGCAGAAGAAGATGTCGAAAATAGCCATAGAAAATTGAGCACTTTACCTCCAAAATAATGGCAAGAGGAGCATATTATAATCTTGGTGGGTCGTTTTTGCTGACAAATCAGCACCGTATACAATCTGACCTTTTTGTTGTTTTGTAGACTTTTAAAAAGTGTCACCACCAACTAGGGTTTGAAAAACTGCCTCAATGAGAACTGAGGAGCAACCAGTGACAAAAAGCTATGCCCCCCTAACAATTCCCACAATCAAATGGGAAGCAAATGTGATTATACGCCAACCCAAAACTGGTGAATGAACAGTTGAAATTCATGTGAATTGAGATATGTCAAAATGTAATTGGTTCAAATATATTCCCCTTTTAATGATAACATCCATATCAGTTCTTGATTAGAACTTTCCTTTGACTTCTTGTAAGTTTTAGCCAATACACTGAGAACTTGTGTCCAGAAATGCTGCCCCTTGCTGTCCTTATTGCCGACTTATAAAGAGAATGAGTTTGGAGGAGTCAACATTTGTAGGCGAAATTACGATTTAAAGTTAATGAGAGGCAATTTACTAATTTTGTTGTTTGGGTTTGTTGGCTTAATTCAATTTTTAACCTATTAACTATCACCTTAATTTTATTTTAGTTTAGAAACTATATTTTATTTCTAAGTGTTCCATTAACTTTCAAATTTATTTTAATTTCATCTACTTGATTATCTTTAACGGAAAACTTACTATTATGTTAGAGGACAGTTAGTCCTCTAACTATATTTATTTTGATTTTTTAGTCTTTAAATTTATATTTACTGTAAAAACAACTTTTATACTTAAAATTATTTTTTAGGCTCTGATACTGAATTTTTATTTAGGTTTTCAGAACTTAACTCAGACTACTACTAACTAATGAATAGTTGATATGTTAAGCTTAATTAGTGTGGAATTAAATCTACTAGACTACTAATAAAAATAGTTACTTTCTAGTTGTGTCTAGATCTTATAAACTTTTTTATCTATATCACTTGCTAGTTGTAGAATTATTCTGTTATATATTTTTACAATTTGATTGCAAATTTTTCAGCGATTTCTTTTAATGTCTTTAATAGACCTTATTTCTTCTTTTATTTCTTTCAATTTTCTAGAGTTTTTAACTTTATTTATTTATTTTTTAATAGAATCAAATTCTTGAGAAAGAGATTTTCTCATTTCTTTAATTCTTCTTAGGGTATTTTCATTAATTGTTTCTATTTTTAGAATGTTATCAATTATTCATTAGTTAGTAGTAGTCTGAATTAAGTTTTGAAAACCCGAATAAAAATCTGGTATCAGAGCCTAGAAATAATAATTTTAGGTATAAAAGCTATTTTTACATAAATATAAATTTGAGGACTAAAAGATCAAAACAAATATAGTTAGAGAACTAACTATTCTCTAACAAAATAGTAAGTTTTCCGTCAAAGATAACCAAGTAGACGAAATTGAAATGAATTCGAAAGTTAATAGACCACTTAAAAATAAAATATAGTTTTTAAATTAAAATGAAATCAAGGTGATAGTTAATAGACTAAAAATTGAATTAACCCGGGTTTGTTGAAGTCTTTTCTTTTATCTTTTTCATTAAACATGTAAAAATTATGATATTTTGATATTAAAAATATTTTTATTAAAATTACATAATAAATATAATATAATATAAATCATATATATTATTTATTATGTAATTAAATTTTAAATCTTGATATTTTTAATAAAATAATAATATAAAATAATTTTTTATATTATTTTTTATATAATATTATAAATTTTAAATAAATAAAAAATTAATTATTTAAATAATATATAAATTTATATAAAAAATAATATAAAAAATTATCCCTAAATTATCTTCCTCTTCGCTTTTTTAAACTTTAAATTCGAAAAAAAAATGAAAAACGAAATTTCTTAGAAGTTTCATTGAATAGAGCGGCCCTAACCATACGGCAAGCATTTCCATATCTTTATTTACAAGCTCCCAATAATTTCATGGATTATTTATAAGAGATAAAAATTAAATCCTTCTTGGGTGAATAAGAAAAAAATCTTTATTATATAAAAAAAATATTACAATTACATTATTATATAAAATTATAAACCTATATAATATAATATATTATTATATAATTAATTTTATTTAAAATTTATTTATAATATTAGTTATATTTTTATTTAACAATATATTATTTTATTTTATATCATATTATAATTATATTATGATTTTTTAAAATAAACTTACAATAAGAAAAAAAAATTGAAAAATGAGAAATTTTTCGTTTTTATTTTAATGCTATGGGATCCATGATCCGTTTAGCACACGTGGAATGGTTCCGTACTCCATTTTTAACAGGTGAAAGAAAACACCTTTCACTCGTCTGCTCCTCTCCTCCGACTGAGTATTGCACAGTTGCAGCTTGTAACTTTCCCGGGAAAATCCCATCTCCCTTTCGGGAAATTCATCCATGGCAATGCCCAAACTGGAACTGCGGCCCCTTGGAAATACGGGCCTTAAGGTCAGCAGCGTCGGATTCGGAGCTTCCCCTCTCGGCAGAGTCTTTGGCCCCGTCTCTGAAGAGGACGCCATCGCCTCCGTAAGCGAGGCATTCCGCCTTGGCATTAACTTCTTCGACACCTCCCCGTATGCTTTCTTGAGCTTTTCTCCCTCTTTTTGTACTCAAGCTCTTACCTTTCCCTGTACCCATGAATTCAATTGCTTAATTGTATACTACTTGTCCTGATTGATTTTTGGTTTATGAATATGAATTTTTGGTTGTCTTTGTTTGGGACCTGAGAAAAGAAATTCCTTGATTTAGTGGGTTCCATGATCCATCTTGCTTTTTTCTTTGTACATCGCATTGTTTAAGGATGGGGGAAAATCATAATTGGAAGATTTGTAGGGATCAACTTATACATGTGCAAGTCTTACGCAATTTCTCGGCTACCATTTCAAAACTCAGGTCCAATAACGTTTTTAAGGCTAAAGTTGGGACCTTTATATTTTCTGAACCTTCACTACGGAGGATTTTGTTTTAGGCAATGAATTTAATGGAAAGGTATTTGATTTGGTTGGGATAAGATTTTCATACTTTTTGTTTAGTATAATTTCCTTGATTTGGTTGGAATAAGATTTTCATACTTTATGTATTAACCACTTTAGGAATCTACTTGTTCTACATTTCTCATTTGAAGGTATTATGGAGGGACGTTGTCAGAGAAGGTACTTGGTAAAGCACTTAAAGCTCTTGGAGCTCCTAGAGGTGAATACATTGTTTCAACGAAGTGTGGGCGTTATAAAGAGGGTTTTGATTTCAGTGCTGATAGAGTGACTAGAAGCATTGATGAGAGCTTGGAGAGATTGCAGCTCAACTATGTTGATATACTACAATGCCATGACATCGAGTTTGGGTCTCTTGATCAGGTCCTTACTCATTGAGATTTAGGGCTCATACTTATGCTGTTTTAATATCTGTACGTATTATAAATTTAGTGGTGAAGATTGGGTTTTTTTAATTTGTTTCTGATAACAGATTGTGAATGAGACAATTCCAGCCCTTCAGAAGCTAAAAGAAGCAGGGAAAATCCGTTTCATTGGTATTACAGGACTCCCGTTAGGAATTTTTACATATGTGCTTGATCGTGTTCCACCTGGCACAGTTGATGTCATTTTGTCATATTGCCATTACAGTATTAATGACTCAACATTAGAGGATCTGGTCCCTTACTTGAAGAGCAAAGGTGTTGGTATAATCAGTGCATCTCCACTCTCAATGGGACTACTTACTGAGCTTGGCCCTCCAGACTGGCACCCTGCATCACTTGAACTCAAGGTAAGCTTTTACGGATGCAGGTCAGCCATGGCATTTACCTCTCTTGTCCATTTATATGGTACATACAATTAAGCTAGTTATGGTGACCTAATTTATCTATTTACAAAATCTTCCCTAGTAAATCTTTAAGGTCCCTATGCATAAATTGAGTGCTTTGGCCACCTTAAAGTTCATTTTCATTGAAACCTGTCTATCCTGAATATTTGAAAGTGCTTTACACTGGCTCTTATTGCTTCTTTAATTAGTTATTGTTATCATTCTTACACAGTTACACTTGAGTTCAAGTATTTTATGAATGTTATCATTCTCATGGGTTTTGTTCTCTTAACAGTCTGCCTGCCAAGCTGCTGCTGCTTATTGCAAAGAGAAGGGGAAAAGTATTACAAAGTTAGCCATGCAATACAGCTTGTCCAATAAGGATATTTCTACTGTTCTGGTTGGCATGAATTCTGTTAAACAGGTTCCAGTTCATCATCTGCCTTTAATTGTCTGTTTTTCTCTAATATAGAAGTTTTTTTCCCCTAATATCAAAGTATCTTGCTTTCTCATTGTTTACAATGGTTAATGATTCTGAAAACATTACCCCATGTATTCAAGGTTTCAGGAGAAATATCAGAAAACTTCCTCCATCATCCATTCATGAACAAATAAACACTATATACTTCCTATCCGGTAAAACACAATTATTTTCACTTGAATGGTCTGTAAGTAACGTATAGCATTTTGATCATAATCAGGTCAAGGAGAATGTAGCTGCTGCAACAGAACTTGCACTCTTTGGAAAAGATCAACAGACTCTTTCAGAGGTTGAAGCGATTCTGAAACCAGTCAAGAATCAGACATGGCCAAGTGGAATTCAAAAGAGCTAACACCCTAGGTTGCTGCTGTTGGACCATGTTATCATATTTACTTCGTTTTTATTTTCCCAGTCCCCGACATCGTTGAGTTGACTATTCATGTGTGGTGCTGGTAGAAGACTGAAATCATTGTATTGTGAAAATAACATATGCAAGCAAGGAGAAAGGAAGATTCTGATCCCTAGAGAGATGTATCCATGTACTTCTACTTCATAGTATTAGCTTGGTTTAAATTCCGAAAATCCTGTTCTCCATGGTATAATAGAGGGTCCTACCTCTGCGTTCTGTACCAGACGTTTTATTCCATGACATCTTAATCAATAATGAACAAATTCTGAGTCAGTTTCAATTTCGCTAGCATTAAATTTGAGCCATGATTCTAGGGGCTATGCATATTGAATGGTGGTTCTCTAAACTAGCTAGTTAGATGGCCCTTGGCATTTTCCAGCCATTGCATAATCTGCATTATTAAGCAATGTTGATTTTCTAGAGAAGGATTGCAAAAATGGAAAGCTATCTTATATTGTATGACATATACCGTACCAGGGAAAAGACAAAAAAATAGCAATGCCATTTTTTCTCTAGCAACCATTTATGAAAAGAGGGACGAAGAGAATGCTCTTGACAAAAGGCACTGCCAGCAATTTGCTATTTAACAAAAGACACAATACAAATTACAGGATCCAAAGCCAGAGTTACCCCTTTCAGGTTGCTGGACTGTACATGTACATTGTGTTTTATCAGAATATTTAAATCAAAAATGATATTTACATTAATAATGATCATTATGATTTATGAGCTGAGGGCTTGTAACTTTGCATACCAACATTGATGTGATGATCGGCAAGGTTTGTATATTTTACAAGGGAACAAGGTTAGGCTTTGGTGTGTTGGTGTATCATGGCAACGGTCCTACCTGGCAATCTACTGTAATGGAGGCCAAGCAATTTCATCATCATTTGTATAGCCATGAATGAGGAAATCTGCACAATTCTTTCGCCACCCATGATTATATGGGTTATGAAACCGCCCGTCAGGACCTCGAAGATACTGATAACGTCGGGCATTTGATAATTCATTAGTGGTGATGTTCCGAGCAATCTGCATCATGAAAATGGAAACTCGTATCAGTTATTGACTCCTGCCTTGAACAAGTGAAATCTGGTCTCCCCTAAGACCAACGTATCTTCTCTTTTACTAATGCATACTGTTCCATATGAATAGGGGACTAGAGAGAGATGACCCATTTTCTCTTTACGTATTACCACATTAAGACTCTCCACATCCAAATACAAACCATGGTTTCGGTTCTTCCTCTGGTTATATAAATCATAATTGCTCATGCATGTGTGTCCGCACATGCATGAGTGTGCATGTGTATTTCTCATCATGTACCTGGTATGCCTGTGACGTAGTCAAAGTTGCAGCACCAACCAAAATAATAAGGTCGAGAACCAGAAACACAACTATGCCAGGATGCTGAACCATCACATGGTGAACCCATGATTCTGCGGGAGGCAATGCTGGTATCATCCAAATTCCTTCCATGGGAACAAAACAAAGCTGTGAGAACCAAAGTGAAGTAACTGTTTCCCAAATCAAAAGGGAGAATGATTTCTAAACGATCCACATACTTTGAACTGCAACAGCAGCACCAACAAATGCTGTCAAAGTTCCCATGCAGACGAAAACAAAGAAGTCCCATTTGTTTCTCTGCAAAATGGTGCAATAATAGTAGTAGTAAAGCAGACAGGATGAAAGTAAAATACAAAAACATGTTCTTAATCTTGGTAGCAAAGTCACACATAGCAGAGGGTTAGCAAAGACCTCCATGAAAATCCTTGGTTTCAAGACTATTAATGTCACTATATGCTTTATGATGAATCATTTTTGCATATTCAAGCACAGCCTGAACATGGATGATAATGCCTTCTAAAATGAGACTAACAGCTAAGAGTAACAAGGATGAAATTATTTGCATACTCTCACCCAAGCCAACAAACAATCAATAACCCATTATTCACTACTAATCCCTAGATGAGTATTTAACACCTGTCCACGCTTAAGAATGTAGCAATTGCATCCAAGAACTAATAATTCCAAACAAATGACATTAACAATATAAACAGCTACTCAAACGTCAACTTC